CGCAGGTTTATCAGTTTGACTAATTCTTTAAGTACCGCAGCCAATATGTCATGTGAGTCACCAGGGATGTGCTCCAGCTCCTCTTAAGCCAAAATAAAAACAACGTGACACTGACCGAGTTCGTCATCATGCTCCAAATAATGACCTGAACTCATTATAAGAGCTGTCAGTTCGAATGTGACTGAACATAGTCCAGCTCAACCAAACCCGAGCCTGAGAAAAAGCACAAACCTTACATCACTGTGCCCAAATCCACCCGCAGGTCTGACTTAATCTTCTGAAATGTCTTCAAACGTTGGCTCCCCACAAAAACACAAAAAAGAACCAGAGTTTGTTTTGCCCAAAAGCCCAAACTGTGCAGAGTTTATAAATGTCGTTTGAGTCTGCAGAACATTTGGCTCCAACAGATGGATTTTTAGAAAGTGAAAGCAGCTCTTTGGTGCTTTGAAAGCTTGCCTTTATTTTTGTTTGTTTGTCTTTTGTTCTTCCAGGAACCGAGCATTTCAGAGCAGCGCCAGGTTTTATCTTTCGGTCCCCTTACTCTCATGTCATCTGGGTTAGTGCTAATGCACAGCATGGGTCACAGAAAAACGGGCTAAACAGAGAGCAAAGGAGCCAGCAAGAAGGATATGATGACATCCTGACAGTTTTTTTAAAGATTCATCCTAAAAGCATCACCAGTTAAGAAAATATTTTATTTTTTAAGAAAACCTGGTTTGCATCATTCACCATTTCGCATAATACAAGAAACTGATGCACTTTTCATTCATTCTGTCTAAATGTGCAAATTTCTATAGTCAGAGTGATAAAATGTTTAAAACAGAAATATACTGAATAATTTACCCGATGGAACAGAGAGGAGGCTGTAAAGGCAGCCTCCTGGAGTCCTTAGGGCTGCAACTTATGAATATTCTACTGATTTATTGATCTATCAATTATTTTTCAAACATCCATAAAAAATCAGACAGTTATAATTACTTGAACAATATTTTTTAAAGAACTTATGGTATAAAGTTAGTTTTACTATACCATGCTTCTTACTTTTATGTGAATAATATTTTTGTGAGATAGTCCAACTTGAGTAAAACTTCTTGCTATTCTGTCAGTGTGAGTAACTGAGCTATTTAGAGATCAGGTCAAAATACCATCTAATTCCTGATAAATCAGAGAATTAGACCTCTTAAAGAAATGTGAGTAAAATATCTGTCTTTGTCTTCAATCAGAAGCTTCTCCAGATCCGGTGCGAGACAGACTGCAACAGAAAAATCCTTTATTTCTACAGCTATCAACTTCTACGACAATTTGAGTTAACAGAACATTTAATTTCCCTTTGGGATTCATACAGTAGCTTTGAATGTGACCGAATCACAAAACTAAATATATGAAGTAACTTAAAGCTTCAGTGGCCTTTAACTAGGAGTCTGTAGTTTAGCTAGAAAAGAATGGACTTAGAGCGAGAAAATAATGAAATTGTAGGTAAACACATCCGCAGAGTTAAAGAATTAAGCATGGTGAAGGACGGTGTTGCTGTGGGCCTATTTCTCTTCTCAAAGGCCTTAGTCAACCTTGTCAGTGTGCTTAAAAACCATGAAAATTGAAATAGAATAAGATGGAGTGTACTAGTAAATCAAAGTGTATAATGACAAGATTTTGGTTATGACTCAAAATTATGGAAGAAATTGTTCAAATCACAGGAAAAAAAAGTGTTTCATTAAAATAACTAATTTAAAAGATGAGACGGCTCCTGCTCCAACCTAAGCCCTAAGAGGATTCACCAAGTAAATGAATGAACACAATCATGTAAATAATGAGATATTCTTTATTTAGCAAGGTTAAAAAAAGAAATTAACTCCTTTTTCAGGGGTGACCTGACCAAGAGGGCAGCTAGAAGGTTACAGAAAGTAGCATAATTACACATTTGAATTAGAGATCGATCTAGTTATCAGATCTCATTCAGTTTTGCACATTGAGAAAATAAAAAGGTTTGTCTATTCTTCTTACAAAACAGCTGGAGCTTAGTGAGGTTGATTAGGGAGCATTTTTGAACAGATAAATAAAAAAAAAACTGAAGTGTGGGACGTGCAAAATAATTTGGCGCCTTTACTTTCATTGCAGTAAAACTCTTTCCAGTGGATCATTTAGGATCTCAGAATGATCCACTGTTGACCTTAATGACTGATGATGATGAATAGAATCATCCTGTGTGTTATCAAGTCTGTGTATAAAAGCCGTTCTTTAAAGAAATCCATAAAAAGTCTTGTTTAAAGTTTGCCATAAGCCTCCTGGGAGACAGAGCAAACATATTGAAGAAGGTGATCTGGTCAGATGAGAAGAACAATGCAGAAGTTATGTTTGCTGTAAAAGCAACACATCTCATCACCTTGAACACACCATCCCCACGGTCAAACATAGTGGTGGCAGCATCATGGTTTGGGCCTGCTTTTTTTCAGCAGGAACAGGGAAGATGGTTAAAATTGATGCGAAGATGGATGGAGCCAAATACAGGAAGAAAAACATGTTGGAGATTGCAAAAGACCTGAGACTGGGACAGGGATTTTTCTTCAAAACAAAACTCTATTTATGGAGCCGTGTTTGAAATAGGCCATTTTGTTGCGTTACTTGCAACTAGAGGGAGGCTCTGGATCAGAATATTCAACTACAGATACTCAAAATGTTTGGCGTGTTTGTTTTGTACCTGAAAATATATATAAAGTTCAACCTTGGAATCCTTCCACATTTTTCACTGCTGAGCGCTAGGTAGGAGCATCGTGTACAACAAACCCCCAACATCTGCAACACGACTGAGCCTGAATTACCTGTGAACTAAGAACCCAATCACATGTGCTGTCAGAAGGGGGACGGCCAGTCATGGAAAGAAGGTGGTGGGGGGTTCAGGATGGACTGGATTGTGGTTGCAGGCCATGAAACACAATGATGAAGGCCTTTCTAGATGACCAGCAGAGGAGAGAACAGGACTTACTGCAGGAACAACAAAACCTTAGGGTGTCGCTTCAACCTGCAGATTGCCCGCAGCCTCCTGTTCAAGCTCTGCCTCCTGCATCTGTGGCATCAACTCCCCACACCGATCCAGCTAGTAGCCCATGACTATTGCGGCTTAATCCTGCAGTCCGTTAACGTGATGGGGTTAAATCTACACCCTTAGTAGGTGCTGGCTTTTGGCTACACCAGCTAAGACCCGATAAGACCTTCATACCAGGTGGGAGAGGGGAGTAAGAATTATCCGTTAAAATTAGAGAGAATAGCTAAGACCTGGATATGACCAGAGGCTGAGTGGCTCTATAGACTAGTTCCACTTCTTTCAAGGCTCTCAATGCCTACACTGTCATGGATAAAGACAAACTCCATTCTTATAAAGACCTGAAAATGGCCTAATTGGTTACATTTGACGTATCATCTGAGGCTTATTGTCAAAAGTTCTGCTATGCATCCCTGCCACATTGGGAAACACTCACTGAAACCTACCACCGCTTCAAGGGACAGTATCGATGTTGGATCCAGCGGGAGCAGAGGACCGAAGAGGACTATCATCTTGGAACAGCTTCTTTTTGTCCTGTCGCCCAAAGTGAGAAAATTAGTAGAAGATGGACTAAAAACAGCAAAAATGGCCCTCCAGTACCTTAATGCTCAGAGAGGGGGACCAACCGCACGACCCAACAGATCAAACCAACCCTCAACAATGGTTCATCCAGCAGCAGACTGTCACCAACCGATCGCATCCATCATTAGTAATTTTATTGGCACATATCAGAGTTTCATTAACGTGTTGCCTCTTTGTTTATTAAGAATGTGACATAAATGGAATTAATCCAGTATCAGTAAGAACAAAAAACAAGCAGGTTTTTGAGAAAATCCGAACATTTATTAGAAGGTTATTCTGAAGAATCTCTGCTTTGATTCATCAATAACAGATGTGGATAAAATATTAATTAATATAACACTAAACAGAAAGGGCATAAAAAATAATAACATAGTTCTTAGAAAAATACAGAATCACTAGAAATACTTCAAGAAAAAAAAATGAATTGTTATTGTCAATCAATGAAATTCAAATCAAAGAAACTGTACAAAGCAAAGTATTTCTGCTGTGGCCCAAAAAGAAATGACTGAGATTCAAAATAATTATAAACTTAACATCCCATCTTTCACTAATCTGCTATTTTTGATGACAGCTCGACCAGTACAGCAACAGAATAAGAAAGCAAAGAAAATTCTCTGTAAATGGATATTTGAAAAACCCCTTTATAATGCAGGTCAAGATTGAAATTTTGAAGAACATTTTATCCCAAAAAATGTGGGAGTATTCAGCTTTTCTTTCTTTTTCTTGTACTTTAACTCTTTTTCTCCGATTTTGCCACTTCAACTTACAATATTTTTTGCATTGGTTTTCATATTTAAATTTCAAAATCAATTTTTTGAAATTTTTTTCAATATTGTTTTTTTAACACTTTATTTTTTCTACTTTTTTTTCTTTACAGATTTTATATTTAAACATTTATTTGCAAATTTTTCAATTTACAGGTTTAATATTTTTACTTTTTTATGTTTGAAATTTCTGTTTCTCCGATTAAATTTTACAAATTCTGTTCTGTCAAAATTGTTCTTCACAGATCATATTCTCTTTACGTCAAGCTTAATAAAAAGGCTCGCTCTTGATCAATACAACTGCTGTTGCTAACATCGTGCAGACCAATAGAAATGCGTCTTCGCTCCTCACCACAGAGGAAAGTCAGCAACCAGAAGAGACAAGAATGTGATCTATGAAACACAATATGAAAAGAATGAAACTCAAAAAACTCAATAAAAAAAAAACTGGAATAAAAATTATTTTAAGATATAAAATATGCACAAAGAAAAAAATTCATTTGAAAAAAATTACTTTTGAAAATATAAAATCAGTTAAAAACTTGCCATAAAAAAAAAAAAAAATTAAAATTAAAATCTCAAAATTTATTTTGGATTAAAACATTTTTCAAAGTTTAATTTCTGGGTTAAATTTTCGTTTTTAAATTTTTGTTTACATGACATGTTCTTTGCCTGCAACAATAATGGAACAAAATTCCCCCCATACTCCCCCTGATAAAAGACAGAGCTCTTATGTTTCAAAACAGAACCACCACATCTCCGGCGTGTGCCGCTAAGCGAGATAAAAATCCCCTCCAGCCTCCAGTTGAATCCCACCCTGCAGACACGCGTAACTGAACACTGAACACTGAAGGAAAATAAGCAGGCGGGCACGCATTTCCTGCTAGGGAGCCACTCCTAAGAGCTCACTATTTGTTTTGAAGTTCATTAACTTATGATTTTTCAGGCAGCAGGGCGGCGAGGAAGTCGAACGCCCTGAGGTGAGCCTCTCTACAGCAACGCAGCATGAGATAAATACAAAAAACAAAAACAAACAACAATATTGATCCACCAGGCTTCAAATTCACATTTGGTCGGCCGGAATACAAATCAAACCCAGAAAAAGTTTTATCAAATTTTATTCTCAAGAAATGAATGAAAAAAGTATTTTATTTTTCCTCTAAAGGTTTTGCAGTCAATATTTATAAAACATCCGGGAAACAAAAATTAAGAACAGTTCAGTGTTGGGAAATGCAGGAAACCTACAGGTACTAAAGATCCTGGTTCCTATTTCCTTCCACAGTGAAGCGAGTAATTTCCCAGAGCTTTGTGGCTTCGCTCCATGTGTTTTGATGCGAGCTGGCTGCCTTCAAGTCCAAGCACTGATAGCTCTGGAAACGCCTCCAGATATTTGGGTTGCTCCAGGTCCTGTCCGTCTTCATTTTTTAGGAGGCCCACTTACTTTCTGTGTAGTTAGGGGGGAAAAAAAGACTCTTGTAAGAGCAAAATCTGAATAAACGGCGATTTTCTACTAATTTATTCGTATATATAATAGAATCATCTATAATCTGTCATTATTAGAAAGTAGAAAGGAGGTTATTTTATTTAATTCTGTTTTTTTGCTATTTACTTGCAGTCTTTCTCTCTTCTTGCCTCCCCCCCAGCCGCCATCCAGTTGGACGGGGTTGAAAGAGATGTGCTCCTTTTTTCCAACAGGAGAGGTGACTTGTTTAAGGGGAACAGCTTCTTTAGCTGCAGAAAATCGGGTAAAGAATTAATCAATATTTCACATAAAAACTTAATACAAATCGTTCAACTCCAGATTTTAGGGATGACTCAAATGGATCGCTATCTTTTTTTAATGGGTGTTTTCAAAATTAAAAATGAATTAATCAGATAAAAATGAGTTATGTGAACACTATAATCTAAAGAAGCTTTAAGATATAACAGAATCTGACAGCAAAGTGAACTCAGGTAAGATTGATGTTTAGAGTTATTTAGCGAAGGATCTATATGAAGCTTTTCATAAACACGACAAAGGAAGAGTCTTTTTGACAGTGTATGATGTGTTCCACGTGCAGAGCTCAGGTCTCCACAGTTTCTTTGCACACGGAGACAAACATTTGGGGAAAGTTAGGGTCAAACTTAGGCGGGGAGGGGGGTATGTCGGATACATTGCAAGCATTGATCCAACTCTAAACGCAGGAACGTAGTCTGAAATGCCAATCTGCTCACAAATCAAACCCAATAAAACCTCTTTAACTTTGGACCATGTTTGGGTTGGTTTGGTGGTCGTAGTCTTCATGTCTTGTTGAAAATGGTTTGAAGGAAAACCAACGGGCTCCTCTGAGTTTAAAACCTGGCAACAGTAAGTTTACTTAGGGATCTTTCTTACAGAGCATCGTTGTATTAATTTATCTCTTTAAATCTTAAAGTCTTATAAAATGTTGCTGTTACTAAGAGTTAGCTTTAAATGAGCTAATATCTATCTTATGTTTACAGTATGGTGGTTCTGGTTGATAACAAATTAATATTAAATTAATACTAATGAAAAACTAATATAAAATTGTTAAACTGATCCCAAACAACTGGCTCAGACTGAAAGTGTTGTTTTATCATGATCAAATAAAGCTTTATACTTGAAGAATTAGAAAGTCCATTTTGAGCCTAAATAGAATTTCAGCACCAGGTGCAATGAGCTGACATGGTGGCACCATCTGCCGGCAGTACCGTGGTGCTACCAGAAAGCTACAGCCAGCTAAGTAAATAGAGCCCAACTGTCGTGTAACATCTGTCCTGCAAGTGACAGATATTAATTAGACAAAATGATCTACAAAAACTCCAAGTTCTAATAAATCTTCCCCAGAATCTCCAATCGGAGCATCAAGGAAAAGGAAATTTCCTCTTCCGAAAAAACACAAAAAAGGACACAGCATCAAACTAAGAACCAATCAGTCAATTATCATATTGATTTACAGACTAATATTTGTTGCTGTAACTAGCATCAGTATTATTAAGGACCTTTACTCCTTGATTACTGCAACGGTGTTTTCACAGGTCTGCCTAAAAGTGGATCAGACAGCTGCAGCTGATCCAGAACGCTGCTGCC